TCTAGTTAGTCGTGCCAGACGAATTTGTTCGGCCGACTGTCTGGACGATGAGCTAGTATTAATTACAGCAACACTAATAGCGAATGGCTATCCTCGAAGATTTATCGAGAAACACATCCAACCGCGAGGACCAAAGGACTTGGTGCACACGGCAGCCAAGAAGATAGTGTATATCGAGTTACCTTTCAAAGGTGACTTAGCCACGCTGAAGACAACTAAGCGTATAATTTCGGCTACACAAGGAAGTTACTATGCTGCACAAGTTGTCGTTATCAACCGAACCCGAAATTTGCCCATACCTCCAACGAAGGAAGCTCAGCCTATTGGGGCCAACTCACACTGTGTATACCAATTTGTATGTGACTGCGGAAAAAGTTACATAGGCAGAACCAATAGAACGCTGACTTCCCGAATAAAGGAACATGTGCCAAGATGGGTTCAACGTGAAGTTGCTCAGATTGCCTACCCTCGTCAGATTCCATGTTCGCGCAGACCGCCGGCTTCCTCGATAGGCAAACACCTATTAGACTCGGGTCACCAATTAGAGCTGGGCTCAGCGTTTAAAGTTGTGTTACGTCACACTAATCCCCGCTTCCTTCGGTTTGCTGAGGCTGTCGCAATTAGCCGGATTAAGCCAGCCTTGTGTGTTCAGAAACAATTATTTGTCAGCCTAAAGCTGCCTTGGACGTAGGTGTGAACTTCCGTCATTCATTTTTTACCTTAAGCTTGTCTGGTTGCACCCACTGTTAGCTATATCTATGCTTATCGGTTATTGTTAATGGTACTGAGGAGACAATACGAAACGCATGCATCTACCAGCCTTCGTCTTCTTTCCGTGCTTTTCAAATTGTTGAAGGGAACTAACTGCTTTAAATTTTTTTCACCCCCGAAATTGCTTCCAGGACGTACTGATTGGTCAACCGCTATCAGCCAATGACCTTCGGAAAATATGAGAGCATAGTTGTTTAGTTTAGTCACAGATCAGTCGCGGTTTGGGAGGGGGTGTTAGCAAACATTGAAACACTTAAGCTAGGCCCACGCAACGAAGTAGACACAAGCATGCTCACTCAAGCTCTCTTTGTGACACCGTATGGCCTAGATCCACAACAGCTCGATCGAACCAGGGGGCTTGACCCAGCGTTCCGGCCATGTTCACTACCGCGTCTGCGTTCCTCTCGGTACCAGAACTGGGCTGACTTAGCCTTACCTTCACTTCCCACGTTTCGGGGTTTGGAACCAGTTCGTGAACAAGCACTTGCTCCAACCCCCCCCCCCCCCCCAATCATTGTCCAATGCTGGTGTGCACCTAGACCAGCGGATGGCTGAAGTCCATGTAGCAAGACCTCAATGGCCGATTATTTGACTTTGATCACGCATGTGTCTACTACGTTGCCAATATATGCTACCTCACTGCCCCACAGCGCAATGGCTCTATGCTTCAGCTGCGTCTAGGTTAAACAACCTTAGTGGTATATTCCTCGAATGCTATTGGCTGATAGCGCTTGACCAGTGAGTGTGTCGTGGGTACAATTTCAGTAATTATCGGACTCTATATTTCGCGTATACGAGTGAAAGCGATTGCGTTGGGGATGCAATCAATCGAGAAATGGTAGTTTTGACAACCGTACTTGTGACGCACTGGTTGAATTCCCAATGGTGGTATCTATCCGTGCTGTAAGGATTAACAGCGTTTTACCCGATGAGCGGCGGCACACCGGCACTCACTGTGTCTTAGGCCACGTACAACTAGCCAAGATGTGTGGTGGCGCGCGGTCGCTCTGTGGTTTGATCATATCACTTACGCACGCACCACAGCGCCCCATGTGTTGTACATGAGGGGCAGTGTGGATAGGATGGTGGGGGTGCGCGAAGCGGCATGTCTCTCCTGTTCTAACCCTAAGCTATGGCGGGGCTTTTAAATTGGCCGTTACCTTTTTACTGTAACATCGCTCTTACTATATCTGTTGCGGAGTTATCAGTTACTATGGCGCTTTTTGACATTTTCTTTTGTTAGAGTAGTTACAAGGTCACTAACGCTGTCGCTGCCGATTTATGAAAATGGACTTTGAGATACTGCGCGAATAGCGTGAAGTTACCGTAAGGCGTTTGGTAAGTTAAGAGATCCTCGTCCGAATCGAATGCAGATTCGGGATCATCTGTTTGATTAACACACACTCTTAATGCCAATTCAACAAGTTGTAAAATTTTGTGTTTTTAGTGTTACTTTAAAGTATCCGCAGTGGATATTGTAAAATGCTGAAAAGGTACGCTCTGGGGTATACAGAGCTTATAGTGACTTGACTTGACTCACACGTGTTAGGGAAATAGGGGCTTTTGTTGTGCAGTTTATGCTGGCGCAACGCTCCAGTCTGCTACAGAGCGACGTACGGATGAGATCACGTCAGCTGGCGACGAAACATTTGGAACAAATATATCGAATTCAGCGAATAGTTCAACTATCAAACGAGTGATCTGAGCTACCAACGCTTGGTCAAATATCCGAGCTATGGATATTGCAACGTTAAAAGAACGTTCACAAAATTCGCAGAAACAGTCGTAACAGTGTTTCTCTGTTCACGGAAGCTGGTAATGGGTTTGTTTTAATGAGCGGAGTGGATGTTAGCCAGGGAAAAAATTCATCGAAGGCCTGGGTGCTTAAAGTCAGCCGTGCTCTTAGTTTCGGCGAGGTGCTACCTAGGAAAGCAGGCACCTGGATAAAATTAATCATGATCAGAGCAAACAAAAATAGATGCTTCCGATGAGTCAGGAAGTGGCTTTTCAACGTATTTCTAAGCTATCTGGTGATATTAGATTGTAATGAAACAAACCGACCTTATTCTCACGATCGCATTTGAGCGGAAATGGCTGAGCTTTTGTGGAACCGCGTGCAGTAACGTCTAAAACAATGGGGACGCAGTGACACTGCATCTTGCTCTATCACGCAAATCCGCTGAACTTGACTTGGAACCACCTGTAGTAAAATCAAGTCGCTGTGAACTCTGGAAAAAAGGCGAACAAGCTTCGTGCGCGAATTGGTGCCACTCGGCGTTGGTGAATGTGTAGGCGCAGCATTGGGCTGGTAGTATGCAGTAGAACACCTGCAGAAAAACCCATATGGCATAAACGTTTGAACGTAACAGCAGCTACTGGTTACATGAAATGTGACTGCCATTGGATTTGACCCACACACTTCAGCAGTGCTGGCCACTTCCTCACCCATGCAACCACCTACGTACCGATGACATGCGTGGACCAAATCGGTCTGGTGATCATCCACCGTCGATCAAAACTCAGGGAGCTTTCACCAACAGAAACATTGCATGCGCTTTGGCTAGCACAGACATTGTAAGAAGTAATGAGATCAAATGCATCATTCAAACACACTCGGTACGACGTCAGCCCATTAAACACACTGTGAAAATGATTGAGCTTAATGGTTACACATGGTGTGTCAACGCCAATTCCTTACACCTTAAGCACTGTGCACTAAGCGTTACTGAAGTGACTCAACCATTCTCGCTTCAATCTGCTTCAAGGAAAGACAGACAAGGCAAGCCCGTGAATTCAAGGGTTGACTCATGGACCATGCTTACTGAGTGGCCACTTAACTGACCCTAGGATCAATGTTAACGGAGCTGCCAAGATCGAGTACTTGTGTGATTGAAACACTCCTCCAATCAGTGCTCATCGCGTCAAACGAGTAAAAATAGTCTGAGCTGAGCAGTATAAGAAATTGTCACCTAGGGATCCATTGTGTAACAAAAGGATGAAAGTGAGATAGGACAACCGACAAAGTGAAGCACAAAGGCAAGCGACTGGAGGGCAGAGCATATGACTAAGGAGGACAAAGCGCATGAACAAAATGGCGGGGATCATCAAACCGTCAACCAAAACGATACAGGTGAGATAGCAGTTAGGGAGACAAGTAATGGACCCACAATTTTTGGAAAACAGTCATAGTTACCTATTTATTACCTTCCGCTATCGTTGTTACTGACATTTGTTTAAACATATCATTCTGCTAATTTCATTGGCTGTTTGTGGTCATGGTTTCTGCTTCAGATCGTAGCTGCACTTGGCTGCTAACGTTCTCACATTTCGTTCGTTGCGTTTTTCTTATTGGTTCCCTTATTGATCAGTTTTCATTGGCTTCATACTGCTTGCACGCTTTCAGCAATATGGTTGGCTTGGTCTTTCGGTAGCTTCCCTTAATCCCATCCTCAAAACTATTTAAGCAAGTATGATTCACTACATACAATTCTTTCATGGATGGGCTTTGGAGTTCTTGCGGTCGCGGTGTGAAGGTTACGATACAACAATAGCACAGGTATACCAGCGAGCATCAAGCATTAGAAGAAAAAGAAAAGGCAGCCAAGATGCTTTAGAGAACACGTTTCATTTCCTTGCTGTTGTATTCCACCCATGTGTAAACTGTTTCCGATAGGTAGCTGATGAGACCAGCCGCATTGTATGGGTGGATAAAAGAAGCTCAACAAGTGCTTAAACAACAAGGGGAATGGAGATCACTGAGCAAGAGATCCAAAAACTCGTGAAGAGTAGGGCTTCAATGAACAAAGATGGTGTAGTTTGTTGCGCACTGAGCACCAAAAGAATAGGGTTGGGCATCGCTTTCGGTGTGCGAGGGAAAACCAGAGATAGTGGATACCTGGCAGAGATTAGTTGTGCGTATGTACTGGGAAGTAATAGGTTCGTGGCTACGAACTTGATTGCCGGTGGTTTGATGATGGATATTTATGAGGTGAAAGTTGGTTGCAGTTAGCCACATATGTCTAAGATGTAAGACTGGATGATATGAATAGAACGAGCGTAAATCACACAAGTATCATGTAGGCCAACCTTCAATGAATTTAACATGGTAAAATGAGTGCAATTTCGCTCATGCACACTGGGCATAAAATGCGATTTCCCATTAAACGTAACAGCGGATCAAGGGCAAGTGCGTTGTAAACGAGGTACAAAGGTAGCGGAAAAAAACTCACTTCAGTATCACATCCTGGACGTCAGTGAGTGCCACTCCGATCGACTGCAAAAAGAGATTAAGCATCTCGCTTGGAAACGCATTTCCTCTTCCACCATCGCCGCCTGCCAACGAGAAACTGACGTGTATCTGAAACACAAAGGCGGCAACGAGGAAGGTAATAGGATCTCCACTATTTGTCTTTATATGTATGCGTCACCGAAATGTTTAGCAATGGGAAGGCTTAAGCAACGGTAGTAAGGTCACGAGAATTTGCACTCATACTGACCTTGATGGGAGAGATGTGCAAATTGTCAAAAATCGATTGTGTTCCATCTTGCAAATGGGTCAGCATCACAGGCGAATCAATCAGTCGATTTTGGATTAGTTGATAGTCACGTTGGAACGCCTCCTCCTGTAGGTAAGAAAAAGAAGGTAAGTCAAAGCAATGACCGAAGTGAATGAAGACACTCGAAGCGCTAGACCCGAAAGCGCGGTGCTAATCAGCCGCCTTACCTCTGGAACACGGGCCACAGTGGCACTAAAGAAATCGAAGAGACCGTTTAGGAAACCATGATCTAGCTTGAAAGTCATTTCTTGGATGAGGGCTCGGAAGTACCTGAAATAGTAAATAGGTTAAGAAAATTAAAAACCATGAAAATATAGCTTGGGGAAAAGTAGCTGTTTGTATATAAAGAAAGAGGCAATCAATCTAAGTGGGTAAATATGACCAGTACCGCATGATGCCGTGAATCACCTGTTGGTCAACGCCAAGATGGTATGACAAGTTACCAAATGACGCACTGCGAAAGAAGTTTTATCCTACATGAGACAAGGCTGTCCAATGATGAGTTCAAACGGAAAATTTGCTGGATTTTTCTCGCGGCGCGATTCAATGCCAGAAATTGAATTATATTATATCAAAAGTCCTGTGACAGAGTGTCTTCAGGCAACTCCACAAAGGTCATCCAGGAATTGCCCGAATGAAGGCAGTTGCTCGGAGCTGCACCTCTTGGCCAATGCTTGATAATCAGTTGCAGGAGATTGGCCGTACCTACTTTAGATGCTCGTGTGCTTACTAGTTCCCGGTGCGGTCTTGGCCTACACTAGAATCCTCAAGGACACGAATTCATGTAAATTTTGCGGGCCAAGTTAGTGGAATTTCGTTTCTTATACTTGTCGATGACTATAATAAGTGACCGGAAGTAGCCATGATGCAGAATACCTCAGAAACTACTGTGCTAGGCACATTGAAACGTATCTGCAGCCAAAACGACTTAGTAGAAACTAGTACGCCAGCTAAGGTAACGCAACTCACTCCTCGTCAATGTGCAGAGTTTTATCCGCGCAATGGAACAGAACACATGATGAATGCACAGGATAATTCATCAATGCCATGAAATGGGCACTGGTGCGATCGAACGGTGGACAAAGGGATGGACACATTCTCACTGAATTATCAAATATTTCAAATCGCAATGTGACAGACAAAAAGTCACCTACTGAAACGCTCATGGATCCTAAGTTGAGAATAAACATGGGTTTGATAAGTCCAAACCCTCCCCTTTACATTTCTTTCATGGGAAACCAATACAACAGGCTATATGTGGAATGGAGTGGAAGGTTCAAGATTGGTGACTCGGTGCTCTTCGAATCTATCCAGGAACGCAAGAGCAACTGGATACCGAGGCAAGTCACGTGGCGAAGTGGCAGAGTGGTGTACGAGGTCGAAGCTGGCACGCATTTACGGAACTGCCATTTGAACCAAGTACATGCTACATGAGGAACACTACGAGGCCTATTATCAGCGCAGTTGATTACAATGAAATGTTCGACACTTGTGAGCCGAACACTTCCGCCAGGCGCTACAATAGACCGTTGAATTGTTGCGAAAATGAACCACAACCAGGACCAAAACGAAAAAGGAGTATGGTAGAGTTCTCCCAAGTCGAACGTAGGTGAATGCTGCTCGAGACAAATGCGCAAATTTACAGCATTCGAATGGAGCACAATCAGAGATGCAGCGCAGATCTGATTTAGTTCCATAATTAAGTTCAGCTCGAGATGTGAACGCATGTGACTTTTGCGAAGTTATGATATAGCCGTTATTCCTTTGCTTCCAATGAAAACTATCACCGTATTGAGACAAATATACTTCGGTTCCGGCTCGTTCGTGGGTGGAAGCAGTCATCGGGTCGAAAAGATAGAATGATAAAGTGTGGTGGACTCAGCCGTCTCGACGCACATCACTATGACTGGAGAGAAATGACAGCAACGGCGAAAGGAGAACAAATAACCAACAGGTGAAAAGGAAGTGGGTAGAGAACTGGAGTCATCGAAAACAGTGCCAAACTGCAACGTACGACATTGAACACATTTCTGAGATTCGATTGCCTTATTTCCTGGTAGCGATAGAGTAACCTACGCTACAATTACCTCGAGTGTGCCAACCAGGGAGGGAGTAGCCACATCGTCTCTTTGCACATCGGTTAAATGACTTTCCATAGTCGTGCACGAAGGTGCAACCAGATGCGCCAAGGTAACGAAGGCAATGCTGCTTCAATGCATGGTGATTACAGCAAAAAGGTTTCAATCGTCTAAGTTCCGATCTATCATACGTGAGGATAAGTGACTAAATCCTCCAAACCTGTTTTTAGAAATGGAGTCAAATCGAAAACACCTCAAGCAGTAAACACATCCGAGCAATGGAGATTTCATGGCGACTAACTGTGACAAATACTCTTGTTGTACCGCAAGTAGATACAGCCCAGCTTGGTCGACTGCAGAGAAGGTCGATATCTGGAAGCCTTGCAAAATGTTCCAAACAGTGAATAGCACTATGGTTATCACGCCTAGTGAGTTTTCTACCGGGAGTGGATACTTTGACTGATGATCGCACAGCCACCGATCTAACGGTTTCACGGCGTTGTCGACTCCATTTAATAGGGAGCACACGAAGCCGCACGTGGTGGTTACAAAATGACCCATCCATCAATTAGCTATATAACGCGGACCAAGGCTGCCGATATACTGCCAGCGTAAAGAAATGTTCCATAAACAAGATCTAGTATTGCACTATCCAGCTAACCAGTAATAGGAACACTTTGAAGTGCCCGTTATGAAACGGATTGTGACGCGCAATCCCAACGTGGATCGCGATTCACAAGGAAGCAAACCTTGGTAAGTGCGATCACTGGGACCGTAGCCGAAGCAGATGGAAACCGGCCGAAAACATTGCAAAACCAGAACGAGTTTCGACGTCTTTTCATCTCATCAGGCGGAGATAGCGGGCCTCGAACCCGCGACCATTGGAAAAGAAGCCGAAACCCCTACCCCTTTGGCTACCCGGTCAAGACGGGCAACCGCTGGCACAACGGTAAATGACTAACTGGAGGGTCAACTTTGGAATATACGCTGTGTGATTTGATTGTGACTAGAGGACGGGACATTATACAGTTTCTGCATTTCCATCTACTGTGTCTGCAATTTTTATCCCAAACCCGCTCGCATACAGACATTAGATCAAGCTAAACGCGCTCCTCCCATGGTCCATACATCTCGAAGGTATGCACCACAGATCACCCATACATAGTAAACATGTTGCGTTTTTTCTCAAAAAACGTTGAGCGTCAAATTTATTTGGCTTGCATCCTACATCAGGAATGCTGGTTATATCAGAAAGCCGATTTAAAAAGCGCTTTAATAACGCTGCGAATCTCTCATCGATTGCTGTCTAAAGCAACTAGAGGCGAATAGATTCCATCTACGACCACTGCCCTCATCGGGCAAGCACCGCTTAAATAGGAACACGTCCAATATATCCAGACATGTTAGCGCATTGTACCACAGTTTAGAGTGACACGTTTGCGAAATCGCATGCTGTGCATTCAAGTTCGCGAGCCTAAGAACGCTGTTTTGGTGTCTGTGACAATGTCATTAGTCATGGGACGTTAGCCAATGGGACGCCGGGTAGAAGCCCCGAGTATAAGCGACAGATAGTCCAATGAAAGTGGTCCAGCAGCACCATCTGTGCTGCCCTGATGAGCGTCTGAAGGAAACCCCGATGATTTCTCTCCAAACTGAAACCGTCCAATGGACAACTTGTGATGCCTATCTAAGGAGGAGATCCACATGGTTTGAACGTACGCCGTAACCAGTGCAGACGGACAGGCAAGGCACCACATGAAGTGATCTATGCTTACTGATCGCTAGTCAATAAATGGTGGTGGCTTATTTCAGCAGCCTAAGCATGATTACGATGGTGGTGTAGACATGCAGTCTTCTAATCGGTATTCCGAAGTCCCTGAGGTCTGAGGGAGTTAGCCACGCCAGCAGTTGCGGTTGGTCAAGCATGCGCCGTGGATAGGACACTGCACACCATAAGCTGAATCAGCGACGGTTACTAGGCGGTTAGAAAATTATGTGCGATTGTTACTGCGACGACCATAGCGGACATCGTTCCCACTGAAGTATATAGACCAACCTGAAGCTTAACAATGAATGTTCTATGGGTGCTTACTTCTATCACAGTTGATGACTAAACACAAACATGACCAACGCTATGGTAGCCTCAAAGAAGGCATCCAACAAATCATCAGCTCTTCTAAGGTAGCATGGTGTACAAAAGTGGTGCACACTACCTGGAACTCTTTCCTTGGATACCATTGATATCCCGAAGTTAACTATAACCTGCGTAGCTACTTCGCACTTAAACCTATTATACTCTTACAGCAATGGTCTCACCAATCAACCCGCCGCGCCACATTATTGGCACCGGTTGCTAGCGCAACGATTTTTTGGCTAATTCATTCTACAGTGCAGGATAAGCGGTTCTTAGTCGACGGCAGTGTGCAGTGTCCTATCCACGGCGCATGCTTGACCAACCGCAACTGCTGGCGTGGCTAACTCCCTCAGACCTCAGGGACTTCGGAATACCGATTAGAAGACTGCATGTCTACACCACCATCGTAACCATGCTTAGGCTGCTGAAATAAGCCACCACCATTTATTGACTAGCGATCAGTAAGCATAGATCACTTCATGTGGTGCCTTGCCTGTCCGTCTGCACTGGTTACGGCGTACGTTCAAACCATGTGGATCTCCTCCTTAGATAGGCATCACAAGTTGTCCATTGGACGGTTTCAGTTTGGAGAGAAATCATCGGGGTTTCCTTCAGACGCTCATCAGGGCAGCACAGATGGTGCTGCTGGACCACTTTCATTGGACTATCTGTCGCTTATACTCGGGGCTTCTACCCGGCGTCCCATTGGCTAACGTCCCATGACTAATGACATTGTCACCGACACCGAAACAGCGTTCTTAGGCCCGCGAAATTGAATGCACAGCACGCGATTTCGCAAACGTGTCACTCTAAACTGTGGTACAATGCGCTGACATGCCTGTAAAATGGTATGGCGTCGCAGGAGTTACAACTGCGTGCGATCGATAACACTCAGGCTTCTATCAACTTGGCATCGCAATCCTCGGCCTTGACGTCTGCATGAAGCGAATTGAGGTACGAATCGGACCTCAGGGCTAACTCAGGATGGAGATCCGACCGACGCAAAATATTGAGATATCCACCTGTCCCTCCAACGAAAATGTGATTGTTATCTGGGT